CTGCTGTATGAAAAGTGAATTTACTCTGTAAATCTTCACCCAAATCAAAATAAAATTAAAAAAAAAAAAAAGATATCTAAACTAAAATTTCACAGAGGGTGGAGTGAGGGATGTGATTATTCAGATATTCTATTCATATAAGCCTGAATAGTTAGCTACTTGCATAAAAATTCTTAATAACTGACATATGCTGATAAAATATCTAGCCCATTAATTGATGTTTTTATTAGCAATTAAAATATTTTTTGGTTTAAAAAAAAAAAAAAAAATGAAGTTGATTGCCCAGCCTTCCTTCCGTGGAGTCGCTGGTTGGTTTGAACCACCAACCTTCTGGTTAGTAGTCAAATGCCTTAGGCACTATGCCACCAGAGCTCCTTGGCCTGTACTTGGTGCCATATATATATATATATATATATATATATAAATTCACTGAAGAATGTGACTGCACAAATAATAAGAACCCAGATTCAGAGAGATTAACCAGTCAAAGGTCATCAAGTTCACAAGTACTAGATTCAGGATTCAACCTCCTATTAATCTAGCAAGAAAGTAAAAGCTCCTTCAACTGGTCCATGGCCTCTCAGAGTAGTGAGGGGAGGTGGAGGTGGGCACCCCAGAGCAATCAAGGAATCCAGGAGATACCAGGTCCTTCTTGTGCGGAACGCATTGCTTCTCACAACTCCTGCCAGCCCCCAGGTGTGAGTTCCATTCCTTCTCTGCAATCAATGCACTCACACACCCCATGGCCCTGAAAGTCCACTGGACCCCCTTCATCTTCTCCTCAGTGAATCACACTAGACTGCATGTCCTAACCTTGGACCCATAGAGAGATTTCAGGGTGCCTGTAAAACCACTTAAAAGCCTATGTGCATTTTTGCTGAGAATAGAACTGTAGCACTCATCATTGTATTGTTCTCAAAAGAATCACTACAATGGTCTGAAGGGATGAGGAGGGTGTGGGATTTGCCCTTATGGCCATGTACCTGGCACAGGCCCTTAACAAAGGTTGACTGGTGTTGAATAACCCAAAGGAGGAATGTTAGTGTGAAATAAGGCAAAGCTTTCCCTTAGGGCATTTCCCAACCACTCTATCTCTTCCCAAGTAAAGAGAATTGGTGACCCTTAGAAGGTCTAAGTCCTTGTAAGTACAGACTGTCATTCTAGCACAGTCTGTCTGCTTTTTTTTTTTTTTGTATAATTATAAACATACCACATACTCTTCTAAACATTTATACTTAAAATTCATTTGTTCATAATTTTGAGACAGAAATTTTAATATGGATAGATTTTAAGTGATATTAAAGAATTATTATTAATGTTGTTAGATATGATAATGGTATTGTGTTTATATTGAAAAAAAATTTTTTTTCCCCAGAAGTTCACACTGAAGAATGTAGGGGTAAAATGACAATCATTAGGGACTTGTTTTAAAATCTTAACAGCTACAAAAAAAGAGAGGAGAAAAAAGGGATAAGCAAAGTTAAGTGTGGCAAAATACTAATAATGGCTGAATCTGGGAAATGGGTTATAAGATTACTGTTACTGGATTTTTGAAAATTTTACATAGTTAAAAAAAGAAGAAAAAGAAAGGAAAAACAGCCAGTGGCTAGAAAACTTAACCCTACGCATCTTTAATGATCTTAGTGGGCATACCCTAAATATTCATGAGATTTGCTGTCTTAGAAACAAGAATCCACAGCTCCTGCTGCTTAGAACAGGACGGGTTTCAGGACAATTTAGCAACCCTTAAAGCTTCCTCATCTATAACTATAGATTGCATAAGCTACCCGACCCCAACCCTCAGGTGAAGGTAGAGAACCAGGTGCCCAGCAACGTAAAAAGTGGAAGTACTTGGAGATAAGGAGAAAGAAGCAGACTTGTTATTTTCATTTTATCCTCTTCTGTATATGTATTCTGATTTTCCTTCCATATTACTTCACCTTTTCTCCCCCACTAGTCCTGGGTATTAGGCCTGCTCCTCTAATTAAATTATTTTTTTGCGGCTGTGATAAAATGTGTGAGGTTTTAGGATTAATTTGAAATGAAGGGACCACTAAGATGTTCCTGTGCATTTCTGTTTCTTTCTTGAAGTTCGTTTGATATGCTTTCAACACTAACAATGTCAACCACTACAAGTACCATATACTATCACTACTACAACCACTAACAAATCTGAGAGGACTTACTATGTGACAGTCACTATGTAAAGTACCCTACATATATTGTCTTATCTACTCTCACAAAAACACTGCCTGATAACTAATATATCTATAACACAGATGGGGAAACTGAAGCTTAGAAAGGTAATTAACTTGCCTTAAGTCACAAAGCCAGTAAACAGTGCAGGCAGGATTCAATTTCAAAGTTATTACTGTTAAAACTCTATACTATGCTGTACCTCTGACTTCACTTAGTTCTACTCTATCAGAAAAGTCACTCAGAGATAGTTCAGGACTTGCAAAGAAGCTTGAGCAACACAATAATAATAAACAATGGTAATAATCTTTTATGTTTATGTCATTATGGTTTACAAAGTCCTTTTAGCAACATAGTCTCATTCTATACTTCCAGCTTGGCCACTTTTGCCTCTGTGACACTAAGTCACTTAACTTCTCTGAACCTGTTATCACTGTAACATGACAGTGTTATAGCTGTTAAGAGCTCAGACTCTGGCACCTGAACCTGTCTGGGTTCCAGAGTCTGCCACTTACCAGCTGTATGCCCTTGGATAAGTTGCTTAACCTCTCTGTGCTTCAGTTCATCCATCTATAAAATGAGAATAATAGTACTTCCCTCAGAGAGTTGTTATGAACATTGCATGAATTAAAAATTGTGAAAGAATAGTGCCCCCACAAAGTACGTGCTTTTAAAATCAATTAAAATAGAGAGGTATGTGAAAACACTACACAGATGTATTACCTACAGAAAAGGTGGCCTTTAGAAGACAAAATGATCCTCTTTAAAGTAAAGGCAAAATGACTCAGGGAAAAATGAGGGCTACGCATCAGACTGACCAGGCTTAGCGTGCTACCAGTCATCTTTTTGACCTATTTGACCTTAGAACAGGTTCTTAAACTTGACTCCAAGCTTCAGGGTCACACCTACCTCCAAAGATGTTGAGGAATTCAATTTCACTTAAATATCTGGTACAAACTAGGGTACCTGTGCCAGTTCTCCTCTCCGTCCCCAAGTGTCCCTCAAATCTTCCCTTACACTCTGCACAGAACAGGTGCTCCTTACAAGCAAGCCCACAGGCAAATGAGACCAAAGTGAAACACTCTCCAGAAATCCTCATTCACTTCTGAGCTGTCCACCTAAAGAGCGGCTCCCAGAGGGGAGTCCATCCAAAGTCCCCAAATCTCTTTAATATGTAGTTGCAAATCAAAAGTACAAAAGCTCAAAGAGGAATCAATATCCCGACCGGAAAAACAGGAACAAGGAAACGCCCAAGAAACTTTGGGGTCAGAGGGCAGCGAGGGCCAAGAAATAATCTTGGTGCGCGTTTTGGGTTTTTTTTTTTTTTTTTAATTCTCTAGCTAGAGTGGCTTTTCTTCTAGGAGAAGGCGCTGCAAATCGCTTAAGATACAGTAGGACTCAGGGCGCAGCGAGCACTTTCGAACTCAAGGCAAGAAGGAAGTGCATCTGAGGTCAGTGGCCTCGGGAAGGCCATTTCCCAGGAGGCCAGAATGTTGGTGCACCACCGGCTGACCACCCCTCCCTCACTGCGGCTCCAAGCCCACCCACTCCCAGCCCTGAGGGCAGGCTCTGCCGGGCCGGGCATTCTCACCTGAGCAGGGCCTATGGCGTAGCCCCTCCTCAGGCAGGGGCCTCGGAGCCCGGCGGCTGTGTGCGCCACCCGCCGCCAAACCCCGGGCACCGAGCGGAACGCCAAGACCCAGCCACGCGAAGCCATCTGGCTGTCCGCCGCGCGCACGTGCAGACTGTGCAGCCCCGGCCCCCGGGGGGGGCGTCTCTGCGAGCAGCCAATGGGCAGAGAGGGGAATGCAGGGACCCACCGGCGCCCGAGGCTTCTCGGGAGTTGTAGTCCTCCTTTCCCCTGGCCCAATAAGCAACATTTGAAAAATGGAGGAAAGGTTGAAGTTGTCAAGTATTTTATTTTACTTCAGTCCACAATCAACACCCATGGAAACAGCAGGCAAGAAACCAAACGATGTCCTGCGTTAGGCAAATCTGCGAAATGCGTATTTGAAGAGTTCAAAAGCAAAGCTGTCACGTTGAGGACGAAAGTGCGCCTGACCCAAGCCACGGTATTTTCAGTGCCCCATAAGCATGTGAAAGTTGGACAATGAATAAAGAAGACTGAAGAAAGGTTCTTGAATTATGGTGTTGGCAGAGATTACTGAATATACCATGGACTGAACAAATCTGTTTTGGAAGAAGTGCTCCTTAGAAGCGAGGATGATGAGATTTGTCTCACATATTTTGGACATATTATCAGGAGGGACTGACTAGTCCATGGAGAAGGACATCATGGTTGGTAAAGTAAAGGATCAGTAAAAAAAGAGGAAAACTCTTAATGAGATGGATTGACACAGTAGCTAATAATGGGGTCAAACCAAACAATGATTGTGGGGATGGTGCAAGATCGGGCAGTGTTTCTTCTGTAACACTCATGGTAGCTATGAATCAGAACTCACTTGCCGGCTCCTAACAACAACCTCCACGTCCCAGGTGCGAACTCTGAGCGTACTGGAGGCGAGCCAGGTAGGGCGCAGGAGGCCTGGAGGGTGCGGAGGGCATTTGCCTTGAGACTGGCAGGGGCGTAGTTGAAACTAAAAACCGCAAGGTCAGCTGCTTTCTTAGACCGAGATTTGGAGTATGTCAGTGTGCACCAACTGTGCTGGACACTCACCCGTGCTTACCACTGCCTACCTCTAGACTTCCTGGAACATACATTTCAAGCAGAAGCTCCCACTGCTTCCACTCTCCATGACTTTTGGGGGGGAGGGGGGCGAAATGGACCGAAATGGACCGGCAATGTGGCAGGAATCAAACCTTGATTGCAGGAAAGAGGTAATAGACAGACTTAAAAAAAAAAAAATTGTGATTTGGAGGAGCTCTCATAGCGTAGTGCCTAAGGCACTTGACTAACCAGAAGGGTGGCGGTTCAAACCCACCAGCCACTCCTCGGAAAAAAAGGTTGGGCAATCTACTTCCATAGTGATACTGCCTGGGAAATCCAAGGAGGGGTCGCTATGAGTGGGGTCCAACTGGACAGCACATAACAACAACATTGTGATTTGGGTGAAAGTTTATAGAGCAAATTCACTTTCCATACAGCTTCTCACATACACTTTGTCTCCTGACATTGACTACAATTTACCACAATGTAACAGCTCCCCTCCCACTTCCTCCTCAGTTATCTCCTCCCTGTGCCTTTTCCTCCCATGTACTCCTGACCCCCTCCAGCTATCTCCCTGTGTATACACAGCCCTTCTATTCACCCATGATTGATCTCTCCAAGGAGTGTATCTACCTAATGTAAATGTTCAGCTCATATGCCTGTCTTTTGTTTGGCTAGAAGCCACAGGAGTGGGTTCAATTCCAGACCTGAAGGGCAGCTAGGGGCCATAGTCTCAGTAGTTCCATCATGCTCTTATCAGACCAGCAAACCTGGT